TGTGGAATCTACTGGCTTTCTTGTTCCGTTCAGAGAATTTGCTGTTTGATGCGACTGCTGGAATAACACTATCACTATTTGGTTTCCTGGGACCCAAGGTACAACGGAAGGCCTCCAGAGACACAGTGCCAAGGTTTTTGACAATTTGCTCTGGGTGACTGTCATCTTCTTCACAAAGCTCGACGTTCGCAAACTTGAATGGTAATAATGTTGCGTCATCGTTCGGAAGATAGATACCACGAAAAGTCGCTTTCATAAGCTGATTTCGAGGGTACACATAGCTATCCATGCAGACGCCATCACAGTAGAGCTTGACTACGCAATCTGAAGGTGCCTCCGGTCCTAAGAACTCTACCTCAAAAGTTTGGCCAGGCGTAGATTCGCACAACACCGTGTTAGGATCGGACGAGAGGCCGGGGTATTCGGTCAGAGGTATTCCATTACAGATGAGGTTCGCCTGAACCCCGTTCGCCTGTGGCATGATAACAGTTCTTTTAGCTTTGAGCTTGATTCCTTAAATTCGATTCGAAGATATCTGTGCTGAGAATGTGGTGGTGAATTGTTGATGAAATGATAAATGAATTTTACGAGTTCGAGCTCATCGCTTTGAAATTGAGATGGTCAACAAAAGGACGAAGGAGGAATCTGACTTCTTACCACGTTTTACTAACTAGTCACGTGACCCGGTCCGTGACTGCGCAAGTACTCGTCCAGATTTCAAATTTTCATTATCCTAAGTTTTTCTACGCTCTCAAAACACCTTCAACACGCGACATCGGCCGACATGGAGGTCGACGACGCGCCGGATCCAGGCAAGAAGGATCAGAGCGTTCCAAAGAACACTTCACCGACTCGCGACGCGTCCAACGCGTTTATTAACCCGGTTGAGCCTCAAGACAGGCCCAAGCCGACCGAACCTCCAACTCCCTTCGCCTTTGACAAAGCAACTCTTCGTCAAGGCCTTACCCATTCTCCATCGATCCAGTCGTCTGACCTAGGAAGTTTTGCTAAGAAACGCTCCAGGCTAGACACCCCGGGAGTCATCGCGACAGATCAAGCATCTGAATTAACGGGGAGTCCTAGGACGAACCGCATGCAGAACTTGTTCCCAGGAGGAGCCGATTCACCATCTCTTAAGGAAATGGTCGGTAAACTCCTGGAAGTTGTAAAGGCAGGCTTCCCCCTGGCCAACAAATCGAAGAAAGCCCAGAAAGTATCGGTCGATGTCGAAACAGCGGCAGACATCTTGATCTTGACAGGATCGGTCTACGACCAGATCATGTACGAAGACGCACGTCGCAACTTCACCACCCCAGCAGCCCTCTCAGGCTCTCAACAAAAGACCCGATCGATTATCTTTAAAGGTAAGGAGACCGACGACAAGCTTGACGCCATCCTAGAGCTACTGTCTTCATCAACAAACAGGCCACCTGTTCAGCATCAACGCAGCGGACCACAGGCCCCGTCATATGCGCTGGCTGCATCCAAACATGCCCCAGCAAACAACTCCAATGCGAACCCAAGACCTAACCAGGCAAAGACGCATCCATCGAAACAGCCCCTCAAAGCCAAATCAACAAATTTCATCACTTTAACACACGAACCGGGTGCCAGCATCACGCATCCAGACCAACACCAGAACCGCTCCGATACGCTATGGATTTCAACCCATTTTGGTATCGGAGCGGAGTAACCGCTATGAGATCACCGATACTTGACCGATATTTTTTTTTAAAAAAATATCACAAGGTATTGGAGCGGAAGGTATTTTACCGCTCCGATACCGCTATATATCGCTGCTATAAGGGCTAAAAGGCATATTGAAGTGCCCTCAGACCCTTCCCATATCGGAGCGGTCAGACCGCTAATGGTTTTCTCGCCTTGGGATGGCGGAGCAGAGCCACCGCTACGTATAGTGGTCAATATAGCGGTGTAAAAACCGCTCCAATACCGCTCCAATACCGCTATATGTTGTGGAGCGGTTCTGGTATTGTCCAGACCTGTCAAATGCTAAAGTGATACATGAGCTTAATGTGGTATTTAGGGCCTACAAGATGAAAGCCAAACCAGACGAGGAGGCCATAATCGAGGTCAAAAGCATACGCCGCCACCCATCAAACGACATCGATGTGTTCTTTGAATCCGCCGCACTCGCAGCCAGAGTTAGAGCTCTACCACGCACATGGGTGCAGGGTTTCTCTAAAAACTTGACTTTGAAAGAAGCCCGTCACGAGATCATCGTGAACGGCATTTCCACAACTTTTGATCCAAATATAAAAGATCACTGTGAGGAGCTCCAAGCATGCAATGGAAGTCTACTCAATGACATGTTGTTCGTCCGGTGGCTTAATCCAAAAGCTCTGGATGATCCTAACAAGCGCCACTCCTCCATCCTAATTGGATTGAGAAGCGAGGAGCAAGTACAGCAGTGCGTAACCACAAAGATCTGGCACGGTAGGGGGAAACACCTCACGTTCAAAAGTGGTCCACCCCCTCCGAGATGCTACAACTGCCAAAAATCTGGGCACACCGCCCCATCGTGCCCCTTAGAGCCTCTTTGCCCCCTGTGTGGAGACAAACACCACACGCACAATTGCCCCCAAAAAGGTAAGACTGACATGAAATGCACAGCATGTGCGAGAAAAAAGGTAAAACTTGAGCCGCTCACCAATCTCAAGACTTTCTTTGCAACCAATCCCGTGGATATCATCCACCACCCATTCAGCCCGTCTTGCCCTACAAGGATTGCGGCAAGCGCCGGACCCTATAATCCAAGCAGCTCGCCCAAGCTAGTAGTCATAGAGACACCCGAAGACAACAACGAGATGAACCTATCCAAATGATAGAACATCGTCTTCGAAAAATAATAACATCACAAGACACTGCGGCGATTTTACAACTCAACTGTCATCGCTCACCACATGTAATGCATTCCCTATTTAACCACAGCCTAACTAATGATTTCTCAATTATAGCCCTACAAGAACCCCACATCAATAGACTCGATTACCTCCCACCTAATCAAACCAACTGGACGCTTATCAGCCCAACACCCGCAACAAAGCACAAGGATTCAAGACCCAGAGCATGCCTGTACATCCGTAAGGATCTTCAGGCAGCACTGAACCCGATCTCTAAACCCTCACGAGACGTAGCAGCGTGCACGCTCACCATCAACAATTTCACACTCCTCATCTGTAATGTATACAACACGCCAAAGAGCTTTACAGGCTTTAGCGCGTGGAATGACCTCATGACAAACTTACCGCTCACACTCCAACTGCTACCAACCATTGTAGTAACAGACTCCAACTTGCACTCACCAGTATGGAACCCGATCCATAGCAACACCGCCAACAAAGCAGCTGACGAATTGATAGATCTCATGTCAAAATGGGACCTCCAGTTACGATCCCCAGTAGGCCAAGCTACCTTTGGCCTAAACTCAATGACCACACGAGGCACGACAATAGACCTTGTTTGGGTAAACGAACAGATGGACGATGTAATCAAAACATGCCTTGTAGACAACGACGACATCACCAATCATCTCTCCGACCATCAATCACTAATAACGTCCTTCACGACGAAACCCAACAACGACACCGAAGACAACTCCCAACCCACGAGGGGGAAAAATTGGAATAAGGTAGAAACAGTGTCTTTACTCACGGAACTGAGAAAAACATTACCAAAGGTAACAAGACTTACCTCACAAGACGACATTGACCAATTTGACAGGAACTTACGAAACACCATAATCAACGCACTCAACAACAATTCACCAAACAGGGCTCCACCAGGAAAGCACAAACACTGGTGGAGGCCTGAAATCTTAGATCCACTAAGGAAGGAAGCACAAAAACTTAACCGCCAATTCAAAATGAACAAATCAGATGAAAACAAATTACTCTACCGGAAAGCTAGAAACATCTTCAACAAAAAAGTTGACAAACTGAAGGAAGATAGTTGGAAAACGTACCTTTCAACATTAACACACGAAACACTATTTCAGGCGAAAAAGTTTGCCTCAGGAAGAAAACCTTCACCTCTAGTCAACACCCTTGTAGAAACCTCAGGAAAGATATGCTCAACGAATGATGAAAAAGCTGAGCTTCTCTTCCACACAACTTGTGTGGCTACTGCACCCTGCAGAATTGAGGATACTGAAATTCTCAATTTTCCTATAGACACAGCAACCCGAACAACCGAAGCTATAATGCCAGATTTCTTCTCGTACCTAACTGAGGAAAACATCAAAGCAGTTATCACAAGTGTTCCGCCTCTGAAAGCCCCGGGAGCAGACAGGATACCAAATTGGGTATGGAGTAAAGTCTGGCAACAGGTTAAAACTCACGTCAGAACGCTTTTCCTACAGATTTCCGAGTTAGGACTAATTCCACAAGATTGGAAAGTCGCCAAGACTATCATGATCCCGAAGCCGGGAAAACCAGATTACACAGCGGCGTCGGCTTACAGACCGATAGCACTGCTGCTCACCCTGAGCAAGATTTACGAGAAATTATTGACAAAACATCTTTCAGCACAGGTGGAAAGCAAGAAGCTCTTACACGAAGGCCACTACGGCGGCAGACCTAACAAGTCTGGTCATGAAGCTTTGACACACCTAGTCTCCTGGATACGTAGAGAGTGGACAAAAGGCAACATTGTAGGCGCTCTCTTTGCAGATGTGAAATCGGCGTTCCCATCGGTCCACCACCCAAGACTGTTGGCAATACTGGAACAAAAAGGCTTCCATAGCCAAACAATCAACATCCTCAACAACTTCCTAGAAAATCAGCGAACTACCCTCTCATTCAACGGATTCGAATCGAAGCCCTTTGACCTAACCCACGGCCTACCACAGGGCTCTCCCCTCTCACCTCTCCTTTACCTCCTCTACAATAACACTTTACTAGAAATAACTGACTCGATTGAAACGGCCACAGCGTTAGGTTTCATTGACGACGTAGTGCTTCTCACCACGGCAACTGACAAACACCAGCTCAAATCTCGCATGCAAACATTGGCTTTTCGCCAGAAAAATTGGGCAAAAGACCACGGCGCAATCTTCGACGTGAAGAAAACGTTCTGGGTCGTTTACAGCCCCAAACCATTAGAGGATCCCCCCACGATTAACTTTGCAGACCGGAAAAGCATCTCACCGGAGGACAAGGCACGATGGTTAGGTATAACCTTAGACAACAAACTGACTTTCTCACAACACAGGACAGATGTCCTAGCAAAAGGCAGACAGCGGGCAGGTTTCTTAGCAAGTCTAGCCAAAACAGAGTGGGGAATTTCACCACGACTAATGAATATTTTGATCACAACAACCATCCACACAGCACTCGACTACGGGGTCGCTGCATGGATGCCCTTCGAACCGCCTCAATACTTCACCAAAGACCTCTCTACAATTGACAACACGTGCGCAAGAGCTGCTCTGGGAGCGCTTTCATCAACACCGACAGTTTTTCTACGACACGACGCAAATATGATCCCTCCAAAAATTAGACTTCAAAGCAAAGTCATGAATTTTATGGCAAACGCTCTAACAAAACCTTCTTACTCCCCCATACATGGGTTTGTGAAGCAGGCCCAGAACTCAAACCCTAAGAGCCACCACAACCCGTTCCACCGGTTCTTTCAACACCCAGTCAGCAAGGAGCTGGAGGAATTCATTCACCAAATACCACTCGACCCCTCAGATATCCTCATGAGACCTACGAACTATTCAACAATTATCCAAGAGAACGAAGAAATGGCAAAAATCAATGCGAACAAACTAACAGCAACTCTAGAACACCTGGTGATCTTCACCGACGGCTCTAGAATCCCAAAATGCACAACAGCGGCAGCCGCATGGTGCAAGAACACCAACAAATCGAATGCCGAACACCTAGGAACCGCTAGAACCCACGGTATATACCAGGCGGAGTATCGGGGGGTCCAGATCGGCCTATCCATGGCGTTAAGCACTGCGTCCATTCACACAAGACGAACAACTATCCTGTTGGACAATCAAAGCGTCATAAAAGATCTCAGATCAAACAAACTCCCTATTACTACTCTTGACGATAGAAAAGAAACTTACAAACTTTTAACGTACTTACACAGAACCTTCCCCGAAATGAAGGTAACCATCCGTTGGTGTCCAGGCCACGCTGGCGTTCATGGCAACGAAGTGGTGGACAGGATAGCCAACAAGAAAGCTAACACGAAGTTACCTAGTACTTTTAGAGCAACACCAAACACAGCTAGTTTCTTAACTGCGATAAAAGAGTGGAGATCAAAAAACTCCGACATCACTGACGAAAAAGACCTGAAAAGACTCGGCCAAAAACCATCACAAAAATGCCACTTAAAATACATCTCAGCCCTCAAGAAACACTCTATTGGAGTAATCACACAACTAAGGTCAGGACATGTACATCTGAACCAATATCTTAGCAAATTCGAACAGATTCGAGACCCAAGCTGCGACTGCCAAGAAGGAGTCGAGTCAGTAGAACATTTCCTATTTACGTGTGTAAGGTTCAAGACAGAACGACAACATCTCGAGAAAGATATCAAAGCTCTCAACCTCCCACTAAACACATCAATTCTAAACAAACCCATAGCGTACAAGGCTATAGCTCATTATTGCGACAGAACGTGGCGGCTTAAAAGTCGCTGGGTCTGGGCCAACATAGCAGACGAAGCCCTGCCAACAGACAGGCATCCTCCAGAGGACTGATTTTCCTTTCCTCACTCTCATCCTTTAGCGCCACAGCATGTTCCTCAGTTAAAAATGTACAGTAGATGAAACAGCCAACAGCTCACCTTTCCCCTGACACAGCCAGAGGGGTTTTACCGGTGCTGGAAAACATATGCAGTGTTCAATAGCCGAAAGGCTCTAGTAACACTTAAAGCAATGAAATAAAAAAATAAATAAAAAACAAAAGGACGAATGGTTTGTTTGATTTATGATACAGCCACACTATCTCAGCATCACGTGATATATCCTATGCAACTTTGTTCCTTCCGCTTCCCTTTGTCTACATATCTGTAGCTCTGTCACTGTGAGACTGTGTCATGAACTGTTACACCACGGAGGCACCTTGACCGTCTGAGGCTGGTCAATACCGGCTGGCTTCAGACCGCCCTTCTCTCCGCAGTGAAAACCGGTCTCTGGCTCGCCAGGATTGTGACCACTGTAAAGCGTCAACAATCCGCCTTACAGACGCCCAGTGCCGGCCTCTCGCCACCTGCCAAACGGCCTTGTGCGGAATTTTGGCGGACGAGAAGGCCTATAAATGGCCACAAGACCGCTGTTGGGCTTTTTTTGGTGTCGGTCAAATCCCCAAAATAAAAATAAAAATAAAATACCTGCCCAAAAAGGCCCATTCGCGGCGCGCAATAGCTCCACATCCAGTTCATGAGAGTTGAGCGATGGGCATGAAAGCCTGTGAATTTCGCAGAAGAGGTTACAAAAAGGCACATAATGGATGGATGATATACTATCTCCTCTACAACTTTGATCTCCAAAGAGACAAACAAAAAGGAAAGGAACAAGTGGAGTCTCGAGATTTCCCATTCGCTAATGCAGGGCGTGAATCAATTAAGCATTCCCACCAAGGAGCCTCCTGCTTGTTCAATAAGCTCCATCATGCCGTGGATCTCATCTTCTGAAGGTAGATCAAATCTTTCCGCTTCGTCAATCTCTGAAAACATTGTTTCGCCATTAAAGGTTTCACGATCTTGATCGTAAATCAACTTGTAAAACCTGAAACGAAGTTTTTGTTGAGTGGGTATTGCAAAACAATCTAATCAGTGCTTGAAGGACTTACGCGGAACTATATAAGGTCCCTTGAGCACTGAAAGCGGCGAGTTGTGCGTCCACTCGCGCCCAGATATTACCCCCGGCACCGCCTCGTCGGCGCGATTGAAATATGCGTATAGCTTTGCGCCGCTGGAACAAGAGAAACCCAGTCAGCACCTCTCCCAAACTGATTATTAAATGAGTTACACTTCTCACAAGATAGGCAATGCGGAGGCGTGTTTCGTAAGGCGCGTGGACCCAATAAGCCTCATCGTCAAGGCCCTCGGCGGTGTCACCACAGTGTTTGGCAACCTACGCCGAGTGAGAACACAATCTCAGGGATCAGTGGTTTCGGTCGAAATAAGCGAAATAGACGAGAGTGACTCACGCGATGGATGAGAACTTTGAGGCAGGGCACCGTGCCTGCAACGGTCCCCTTGATGTTGTGCAACACCTGGGTACCACAACACACAGTAATTAGAAAGAGAATTCAAAAAGTGAGGGTATAAAAAGGGTACGAAGGAGGGGAGGTTCGACTGACTAAGAGGTGCATACGCTCTCGAGCGTGTTTCCCAGCATCCTTAACGAGAGTCGCGTACCTTTGGGTTGCCCCAACGTCCGCGACTCCATTAACCAATGGAGGAAGCTGTTCGGTAGCCCAGGTGCCTGGGATGTTTCTGATTTCCCGCTGTGTCGCGAAAGACGTAAGCAATCAGAATGAGAAGATAAGGCCGTATCATCATGTACATGTGACCTACCTTAATGGTGGCAAACAACGAATTGGCCAACACCGCGCCATTGGGGCCTTCACGTCTGGTATACGCGGCGATGTTTGGTAACGCTACCGATTGATATGCAAAAGCATCCACCCGATTCTGCATACACACGATAGAGGAGAAAAACGAATGAGCAAAAAAGACACCTAAAAACGAAAGAGGTGGCAGTGGAAGCACTTTAAGCTCGGGTGAATAGTTCCAAACGGGGGCAGGGAGCGCAGGCGCGACTGATACCGGAGCAGCGCCTGCAGTAGCACCACTGGGTGGTCCACCGAAATTACCTGCGAGGTCTTCGTTCATTTGGTCGAATTTGTGGGACAGTGTGATGAAGTCCTCATGGTGCTTGTTTGACACCGAAGCGATCTGTTCGTCCACCAGTTGGGACAACTGGCCGATGTCTTCATCGACCTTGCTCGACATGGCCTCAATCTCTTGACGGAGGCTGTCACACATGACCAGCATCTCTTTTTCTACCTTAGCCGATAATCCGGTAATCGCATCGATTATGCGATTGGCTTGACCCTCGCTGTCGTTGTTCTACCATAAAACCAATAGGTGATCATGTCCGGAGGGAGACCAATGATGTTGAGAGAGACGGCACTTACAACATCATTTCCTCTCATCAAGGCTTGAGACCCTTGCCCTCGGATGCTTCGCGCCTCGGCGCGGTTGGCAGAACCGGCGGTTCCAACCGCTGGGGTTTCTGCAGAGAATGGTGAAGTGTTTCAATTCGCACTCGTAATCAGACCGACGCAGGGCAGAACAGCTTACTGTTGCCCCTCGGAGTGTTCAACGAGTACGGTTGGGTGCGATTGCTTTGAGAAGCGATTTGAGAAGACAGTGGCTGGCCGGATGGAGCTGACATTTTGAAGTAGGACGTCGATGGTTTGTTTTTAAAATGAAGAGTGAGATGGTTTCGAAAATTGAGGGTTTTACAAAGGACCCGAAGTGAAGATGGTGAGTTTAAATGGGCTTGTTAATTCAGATGCGTCGAGAATGACAAATGAGACAAGACAGAGTAAAACCTGGGTCTGTCTTTATATTTCACAAGGCTCCGTCGCCCACGCGAATGAATCCAGGGGTTTGGCCATCTGTCATTGGTCGGTGCGTACATTCAAGTTGCGGCAAACGCGACTGGCGCGCGCGCGTCTTGCGTTTGATTTCCTCGTTGGGAAACATTCCCGACAGTCAGTGGAATGAGGTCTGTTTTGGTTTGGACCATTGCCATTACAGGCAAACCGTGATCATATGGAAGAAAAATGGTGGGTCTCCGAAAATTGCAAAGGTTGATTGCATCTGAGGGGAGTTTGGATACAATAAAATTGAAATAGATTCGGTCTCAAGAGCGATCAATCAGCTGAAGAATCTGTTTCATCAACTGATTCTTCATTTTGTTCTTTTTGTTTACCCTTGCTTTTTTTGCCCTGCCTTTGTTTACTTGAAACCGTGTACTAGACCCTCCAAACTTTGAGGCCTTTTTCGAATGCTGCCGACCATTCCGAAGGGGAGAGTGGTCGAGCCCCCACATTGGCCACTGCTCGATGCGTTTCGGCTGAGTAGTGGCTTCCGCTGTTCAGGATGAACCAGTCGCTTTCAATATGTTCAATGGTGCTGATGGTTGCTGATGTTTCCCTTCTTTCAAGGCGTTTCTTTGCACCTTCTGCGACTTCGCATTTTGAACGGTGACAATTGTGTTGCACGTTCAAAATGCAAAGAAGGTCCTAGATTATATATAAGTATGACAAAGACAATCGAAGCGGAGTGGTCATTGATGAATTTGCTTACGATAATCTTGACCCATTTTTGGCGTGCCGTCCTGATTATTTCGCGCATACCATAAAAAGGAGATAAGGCACCGTGTTGGGTCTCCTGAAGGAGGATGACTGTCCTGTTGGCCGATTGATTTTCCGGCTTCCAGATGGCTACCACTTGGAAAACACCGTTGCCGTTCTTGAGCTGGCAAATGTAAGCGGTTAGTCGGCGTGATCACAAGCCACTGAGATACGGCATTCAGAGGCCACTCACCTTGACAAAATGTTTTTTCGCAAGTGTCTGATGGTTGATTAAAACGACGGTTTGAAGTTCTATCCACAATACAGTCGGGCTTTCCTCTGCGAGAAAGTCCGGCACATCATTTGAAACCTCGACGCGAGCTGAGAGGTACCAAACCTCAGTGAAAAAGGACTTAAATGGTGACTCAAAAGAAATAAACTGACGACCAGCAGTAAAGACCGCCGCCTGATTAGCTTTTGGGTCAAGTCCCATAGCCTTAGACAACTCAGGCATAGAGGTCAGGAGTCTTCGAACTTGAGGTCCAGCCGCGACACACGCTTCCAATTCCTTGTGAAAGAAAGTGTTACCGGAAAGGAGGGCTCGCATCATTTGAAAGCTGTTGAATGTCTCAGCGATGTCGCGCCCAGGTGCCATACGGTTCGAATGCACTGATGCACAACGCAAAACGCCGTTATAACACTCGAACTTCTGTGTCATGAACAGGATGGCGGGTCCAAAGCGCTCGATTGAGTCCTTCAAATGGGTCAACATGTGAAATTTGGGCTTGTTGACCCATTGCGCCGTGTCCTGGATTAGCTGATGGAAAAAAAGCAGAATTGTGGCGTCCATGTCTTGCAGATACAGTTCCATGTCAGATATTTCATGTTGAAATATGTAACTGCCAAGCATGGCGAGCGCTGTCCACAAGCGCCGTCTTTCATCCTTTATATAATCAAATAACACGAAAGGAACTGCCTGAAGGATTGCCTGAAAGTCCTTGCCGACTAAACTTTGATAGTGGACGATGAGCGTTTTGGGTTGAATAGGTGCCATCTTCAAGCCTTTTGTGTTGAACGCACGCCACCTAGCCGACAATTCACGGTAGCGTTTCGATCCCGGCTTGATTATTCCCAAAGACTTCATGGTGTCTCGGTACAAATATTTGACAATGCCGAGAAGTACCACGTGGAGAGTTTCGACCGGCGTGTCTTGGTGTCCATCGAATCCTGTGAACAATCAAAAGGAAAATCCATGAAAATAAATCCAATACATCCTTGAATTGGCAAATACCCACGCACCTTTTAGGCGCAACATTGGGTTGAACATACGGGCACCCAGTTGCAGGGTCAATCCCTCGCACAGTTGGGCCACATTGCAAGTTTCGGGGGCGTCGGCAACCATTTTGAGGAAATGGTCCAAGACAGAATCACGGAAACCGTGTTTGCGCGCCTCTGCCTCGACCGCAGTTTTGCTGTGAGGTCTCTGAGCCATTTCCCATAATCGTGACGCTCTTGCTCGCGTGTCGTTCCAATCGCGTTTTGGCAAGGAGAACTGTTCAAAGAGAAAGCAAAGAGAGCAAAGGCCAGCATTAGTGACAACAATACGTCCATACACATTAACATGACGACTGAAATCACCGGTGGTGAACAAACGGAGGGGAGACTTACCTGGTCGCCGTCTAAGTCCACCCCAATAAAGTCCGAGACGTACTGCTCGCCCTTTTTGTCACACATGTGCGTTACTTGTAAATCACACATGCGACAAGGGTTCAAGGTGTTCGCAGGATTGGTGGTATTGGTTACTTCGGCGTGCATTGGCCCATCGCCGAGGTGAAACAACACCACCACCATCGCCAAGACATCATCGCCTGTGACGTGGTCGTGCGCCAAAAACCCATTTGAACTGTGGTCACTGGTATCATACCATAGTAATTAGCTTGTCCGAAAGAATGTCATGGGAAAAAGGTAAGATGGTAAGGTGATGAACCCACTTGATATCATCGACAATTTCGTCGAGCAATTCCAGCGCAGAAGCGCAGTTAGAGGTCGCCAGAAAATGGATATTATACTCCTCGTTTGTCATATATGGAGGGAGGCCAGCGAGTGTAAAAAAAATGCTCATGTGCTTGTTCCAAGATTTCGATACGTTTCCTGACGTATCGTCAGAATACAAGGTCAGGGGGATGTGCTTGATCACTTTTCCATTGGCTCGCAAGCGCCAAGGATTGGTGATTGGGATTTGCATGATGCAACCGTCCGGGCTTTCCTCTGCGGTCCGAAATGAGAAAGGAGAGTCAGATCACGAGCAATTATGGGCAGGAATTCATAGAAGAGAGACGGACGATCCATATACGGCTGAATGGTTGTACCTTCTTGAAGCATGATGTCTGCAGAGGTTTTCCAAAGCTCTTTCACGTCGATGGTCACAAAATCTTCGGAGTCGAATGATTTCTCGGAAGGTATGACGATTCGACGAGCTGATGGATGTTCTGGACATTGCCGGATGGTTGTTGGGAGGCATTTCGCCATTGGGCGCCCATTAACCTGATAAAAATACGCCGGGACAAGAACTTGCTGAGAAAACAACTGCACTGGCTCGTATATGAACCAGTGTTTGCCTCGGGAGACAACCATTTGGACGCGAAGTTCTTTGCTAAACCCTTCCCGCCATTTTTGCGATTGCGCTAATCAGTTGATGGCTTCGTTTGTCGGCAATTCGGGAAGCGTGACCAAGAAAGGGCTGACCAAAGGATTGGCGAGTTCCTGTGAAGGGAGAGGGCCAGAGGATCAGACATCGGTTGCTCGGCGCGGAAATCTAAGAGGAATACCCACATTTGTTATGATGGTCTGCACCTTTAAGCCAAAAAGAGGCTTGTCATGGGGACTAGTCCGTTCAGAGACCTGAAGGCCAAGATCCTTCTTGAGCCGCTTAGTTAAAGCACGTAGCGCCCCCCATTCTGGCAAGTGAACTTCGCATATAAGCAATATAGCACGAATTCGGTGGTATTGGGACCGTGATAGAATACTTCGAGTTGAGCCGATGATCAGTAAGGCGGCAACGTGCTGTCCAAACGAAAGATTGAATGTGTTAGGATGTAAAGTTCTCGAGGTTCATTTTCAACGTGTGACTTACCTCTTTCTTCTTGAAAGGGAACCACTCGGAGGAGTCCAATAGGTTGCCCGTACGCAAATCGGCCTCAAGGACAGCCTCATCCTCGGCCTCGTCGTTCGGACCCCAGTCGTCGTCGTCCATGGCATGAATAGCTTGGAGAAGCTTGTCGACGTCAATTTCCTGGTCGGAGTCTTCCGGCTCGCTAGGTTGATTGGCAGAGGCAAGTTGAAAAGCACGTAGGTATGAGATAGGTGACGGAGGGCGTCTCTGGGGGTCTGATTGTGGCTCATCGTCAAGAAAGATGTCTTCTTGGAGGGGCGGTGATGGTGATCTGATGGGCTCTAAATCAGCCAACCCGGGGATCATTGCGATGTCGGCCGCTATTGAAGCCTCATAATGTGCGGCAGCTGCGAGGTGAGGCTCCGAGATAGAATGCGGCCCATAGTGGCCCATCAGTCGTTTGCAGACTAAGCACTTCCATTGGGTATTGGATGCCACTGTCGATATTAATTGAAAGTCTGAGTGTTACAGCGTACGGGCGAAAGAGTCAGAATGGCGCAAGTTCATCCACTCAATGTGTCCATGAGACTGGATAACAGGAGAACTTACATTGGTTAGGCGGATGCAACCCTTGAGCCATTTTGAGACCAGTTAGGAAGGTCCACAAAGTACGATCAGATAATGGACGGCGAATGTGTTGTCTATACTGGAGGAAAAGCTGAGGTGAAATGCGAATTGAAACGTTGGGGTGCTAACCCAATGAATTAAGATGATCAAAGGCGAGGTATGGTATGGGAACAATGGAACAGAGGACAGGCAGGAGCAAGAAGAGGGAATGTGCATGAAAGAGGAGCATGCAACAATCGGGAAGGCTGGGAAACAATGGGTAAAGAAGGGTCGAGGGCTCAAACCTTGCTAGCATGAGGCCTCCGCCGTCGGATGAAAGTCTGTTGGTGGCTTCCTATGCTTGCTCAAACTTTGCGTGATGATCTTGAATCGAACCTTTGGCAAGGATCTCGAATCTTTGCCCAGTCATATGGGCGATGATCTCGAATCTAAACCTTCGGCGAGGAGCGTGCGGAACCACAAAGGCCTGGTGTTGGTCTGGGGCATTGGTGGCGCAGAGTGAAAGCGCATATAAAGCGTCTATAGGTAGGATGCCATGCATGAAGCTGGCGTTCTGGTTGCCTTCTCCCAAAGTGCTTCGCTCAGCATTTCAATCGGGATGTGTTTGAGCCGGCACTGCCGGCAGAGATTCACGACTGTATTGTGTCATGCACCTGTCTCCGCTGTGGGCGGGCCGAAGGCGGTGCATGACGGACAGCTGTCGGAGTAATGCCGGCCTTTGGGTCAGATCGGGCGTGTCCAAAGTCAGATGCACTTACCGCCTGTGGACTCGCGGCCAGCGGCCTCGGGGTCGCCTACGGCCGAATTCGGGGCCATATTGCGACTCGACCATGTCAAGGCCAAATTTCGACTCAAAGTCCCCCCGTGGTGTAGGACTTAACATTACAGCCGTTCCAAGATCATCGGCAGATTTTGGGCAAAAGCCTGTAATTTTGGCAAAA